ATAGAATTTGCACTTGCTCACTTCTTAATGACATCCCCAATATTTCCAGCATTGCTGTTTACAAAGCATTGTACAAAAGTTTTGGAGGTTTTGCTGCTGATGTGGTAGCTGCAATTGACCAGGTATGATTATAAAATAAACAATTTTGAAATATATATTCCTGCTGCTGCTTACAATACCAAACTTAAGGAACTACAGGAGTATCTTATATCTGATGGGCATGTATTTGCAGATGACTTAATTAACTACAAGCATGAAATAATTAAATATTTCTCATTTGATTGTGGGGTACTATGGTGCGGGCCTTTTCTGTTTTGGGTCCTGGCACGATAGTTCTTTGTGGCCAACTGGTTTTCTAAAATGCATGCATATGCATGCCTAAATAAGATCTTTTGCTTCCAAGTAGTTGCACCGCACATTTCATTTAGCATACAGTTATAACCATGTATGATTGCTCTAATTGAACAGTGAATTTACCATGCAACTATCATTAAATTTTCAGGCAGCACAAGATGGGGTGGATATAATAAGCTTGTCCATCACTCCAAACAGGCGTCCTCCTGGCATCGCAACATTCTTCAATCCCATAGACATGGCCTTACTATCTGCATTTAAGGCTGGAATTTTTGTTATACAAGCAGCAGGCAATACTGGGCCATCACCTAAAAGCATATTTTCCTTCAGTCCATGGATATTCACTGTTGGTGCCGCTGCCCATGATAGGATATATTCTAACTCTATACTTCTAGGAAACAATGTCACAATATCTGGAGTTGGGCTCGCACGTAAGTTGGCTTTTAGGAGCAGTATGTTCTTCTGTATTTGCATACGGTGCAACATATAATCAACATTAAGTTACTTTTCTTTCTTTTTGGTTTTTCGAAAAATAAGAAAAGAAAAGAACAAAATAATTTGCTTTGCTGAGACAGGTTTAACAGATGGTATTACTGTTTATATTGATTTATCTATTTTCTTTAGGATTGAAACCTCTATACATTTTTCTTAAGCATAATAGATTCTGCTCCACATAAAAGTCTGATGCAGTGATCTCTAAGTGTCACGAGGTACTCTAGGCATACTGTACACTCAAAATATTATGGTGCATAGTAGATTACCTTGTATGGGACTAATCTTCACTTGTTAGCTCAAATATTTTGTACTGCTTGTTTGTCTAATTGTATAATCTTACATTAATGCTGATGATATTTCTTTCCTTTCACCAGCTGGAACAAATAATACGATGTGTACACTTGTTTCTGCACTTGATGCTCTCAGTGATTCAAGTGCTGGGAATGATATGTATGTTGGTGAATGCCAAGATTCAACCAATTTTAATCAGGATCTTGTTCAAGGAAACCTATTAATTTGCAGCTATTCAATTCGGTTTGTGCTCGGCCTGTCAACAATTAAACAGGCTATGGAAACAGCTAAAAATCTTAGTGCAGCTGGCGTTGTGTTTTACATGGATCCTTTTGTCATTGGTTTTCAACTTAACCCTATTCCACTAAGCATGCCTGGGATTATAATTCCAACTCCAGAGGATTCTAAGGTGAGTTCGTGGGTTTACAAGTGATCATTATTTGTAATTCAGTTCTTTACGGGTGAAATGGGTAGCATGGCATGTTCAACTGCTTCTGGTGTGAAGTGATACAGCTGTGTGCTTATGTACATAAAATCTGGCTGATTTAAGGTTTATTTGACAGGTCTTACTGCGGTATTACAATTCTTCTTCGGAGAGAGATGGAACTACAAAGAAGATTGTTAAGTTCGGGGCAGTTGCATGTATTTCAGGTGGAATAAAAGCTAATTTCAGCTACTTAGCCCCAAAGATTATGTTTTACTCTGCTAGAGGACCAGATCCAGAGGACACTTTCCTTGATGATGCTGACATTTTGAAACCAAACCTTGTTGCTCCTGGAAATTTTATATGGGCAGCTTGGAGTTCCCGTGGCACTGACTCAATTGAATTTCAAGGTATACTTTTGCAATCATGAGCCTCCATTATCACATGATCGTGTTCACAATACTTGTCTTTCAATCTAATAAATGTCTTTTCTGATGTCTCATTAATTAAGCAAAACGAAAAGGGGTATCTGATTGTGAAAAACTTGCAGGTGAGAACTTTGCAATGATGTCTGGAACGAGCATGGCTGCTCCTCATATTGCTGGACTTGCAGCCTTGATTAAACAGAAGTATCCTACATTCAGTCCTTCAGCCCTTGGATCTGCACTTTCAACAACAGCTTCTCAACTTGACAAAAATCAGGCACCCATAATGGCACAGCGTGCTTATGCAAATCCAGAACTGAATCAGTCCCCAGCAACACCTTTTGACATGGGAAGTGGTTTTGTAAATGCAACGGCAGCACTAGATCCGGGTCTTATTTTTGATATCAGTAAGTTTTATTGCTCTTACACTAAGGCTTTTATATGGATATAAGGTGAGGGTTTCTTAGCGGTGCTGTGCATAATTTATGCAGGAATATGTAGGTCTAAAAGATGGTATACGACTACTATGTGATTCCAATAAGAAGGGACATCATTTAGAATGACAGGCCATATATTAGAAGGAACACTATCTTACATAAATAGAGCTTGATGACAACACAATGCTAGCTTAGAAAGTACCATGGCTGCTGAATGTCTGACATCCAAAATAGAAGCAAGCGCAAAGGACTTCATTTCTCTTTGATACACCTGTAATACCTATGCTATCTGCCATGCTAGAATTCTAGGTCCCTCTCTCCATAGTAAACTAGGATCTGATGGAATTTTTTTTTTTTAATATTACAAAAAACTATTATCAACTGTGGAAGATAAAATCATTTTGAAGCAAGGGAAGGTGATGGGAGAATAGGTGGCCTCGGATTAATCTCCCTTTGGCTTTTATTCCAATTACTTGTTGCAGTATAACACGGTCGTACTAACAATCCAGGAAACTTAGAAGCACACAAATGAATCTGAAGGTAGTTTTTCATCATCTGAAGCAGGATTGCTGTAAAGGACCAATGGAGTAGAATTATTTTACGCATTTTTGTGTTTAATCTGTTTGCACAAGGATTGCACATTTTCGAGTATCATGAACATCTAAAAAACTGTTTTACTTGCTAGCCTTTGCTGTGAGGGGTAAGGAAAGGGGAAAGGGAGGAACATGGGAGAAGGGGTTGTTGGGGTGACATCTAACACATTAGGACTTGAATTTCAGTCAAGTGAAAATCATTTTGGTAGGACATTTGCCTTTTTATTTCAAGTAATTCTAGTACCTGCAAAAAGAAACCTTCACATCTTTTTATGGCAACTCGTGTTGCTTGTAATCTCACAGGTGGCTTTGGTGTTTTTGTAGGTTATGATGAATATGCATCCTTTCTTTGTGGCATAAATGGATCAGCTCCTATATTTCTAAACTACACTGGTCAGAGCTGCGGTGTCTGTGCTATAAATGCAACTGACTTGAACTTGCCTTCCATCACAATGTCTAAACTCAACCAGTCTCAAACAGTCCAAAGACTAGCAACCAATATCGGTGCAAATGAGACCTACAGTGTTGGTTGGTTTGCTCCTTATGGTGTCACTTTGAAAGTATCACCAACTCACTTCTCGCTCGCAAGTGGTGAGAGACAGGTCTTGAATGTATCCTTCACAGCCCAGATAAACAGCACTGCTGCAAGCTTTGGAAGAATAGGAATCTTTGGACATCTGGGTCATGTTGTCAACATACCTGTGTCAGTCATTGTTAAGATTTCATACAACACTACAAGTGACACTAATTTCTTGCAGTAGTTTTGTCAAGGTGTCCAAATTATCAATTTTTTGCTCTGTACATCCTTGTGTAGATAATTGATGATAAATAACAGCAATGTGATTCCCTCTTTTTGCCTCTTGTCTCACAAAATGCAAATAGTTTATGGATGCAAATTAGTCCAACAATCTTACCTACTCTAAATGTTACTGTCTGGATACAATCAAATCTTTGTTCATCCTTAACAACCATTAGCTATTGGTGCTGCGTGCTATTTTTAACTTGGTTTTAACTTTCCAAATCAAATGCAACAAACTTTTAGCTACTGAATCGACACTAGAACACTGGAAGAGGTAGAGTCGTCTAAGAAGATGGAAGACTAGGTTTGCTACGCATTTGAAAAAATCTTTTCTGCTACGTTGAACAACATTACATGTTACTCTAGTCTTGATCAAGATTAGCTGGAAGTTAGCTGATCGATAATTCAACTCATAGAAGTGTTCCGTCACATGGCAAAAGTGTTAGTTGTGAGCTTTTCCCCCATCAAATCAGCATATTTAACAGAAACCTACATTAGCAATGCAGGTTCATGCGTATCCTACTATTGCATCTCCATACTTTAAAGGCGTGACACGTCGGAGACCCGTTCGACCACGTCTCTGATTGCCCAACTACTGAAGACGTGATATTAAGTACTTTTACCTTGCTTTTCATTCAAATTGATTAAAGTCCTACCTATTTTACTTTTTAAAGTAAAAAGAGTATCATGATATTTTATTAATCCAAATATCTGGTGCAAAGTTATTTTTTTATATTGTTCGTTCAAATCTTAAATCCATTTAAAACTTGCCTTTTTTATTTTATTTTTTTTTTTTCATTTTAGATGAGACTTGTGAGACTTATAAAGGGGATAGAAGAAATTGGAGCACTACAAATTCAATGTAGCTTAGGAGATTGTACTTTTCCATGATAGTTTGTAATAATCCTTAGAGGCATTGGACTTGAATAAAAATCTTCTCTTATGATATGTAATGTTGATTGAATTTAGCCTTGAAAGGCAGTTCCTCTTGCACTTAGTTTATAGTTGCTTCTTAACTTGTCAAATCACTTGAATTACTTTGGTTTAAGATAAATCTCAATGTAAATAACTTCAAAAGCTTCAGCTACATTTTTGGTGATAGAAACATGCATATGTACACACCCATATAACAAGTGTAAAACAACAAAAAACTTTAAACAACAAACTTTTGCATGTGTTTTCATTGAAAACTCAATTACAATGATTGAACTCAACTAACATACAATCCACACTATGTACAAATGCTCTTCTTTGGCTGTAAAAGAGCAGTAGATCGAGCACACACAAAAACAGGAAAAAGAGTGCATCATATATATTAAGGAAGTCTAGAGTAGTTCTGAGACTTCTGAATCCGAAGTTTGGTGATAGAAATAACAGTGACAATGATCATCAGGACTAGCCCTATGGAAGATGCAATCATGGCTCCACCTCCATGGTTACAATAAGTGCTGAACTTGTCACAGATTTTGTTCCATTTTGCATGAGAATTTCCATTTCGAGCAAGCTCACCAATGAAAACTGCTGCACTTGTACCACCAGACACCAGAGCAACGTTCAGCTGGATCGAAAATCACAAGAAAAAAAGGTCATGACATGTACGTTCTTTATGTTGATTTTTTAGAGGGGTATATATATATATATATATACTAGTATAGCCAAAAAAGAGGGAAAAAAAAAGAAAAAAGAAAAAGGTTAATAAAAATTATTGGAAAATTGAGCAGCAGTTTGATGATTTGCCCAATTTAATCAATAATCAAATACAATGGTGAAAAGGAGCAAAAATTACCATGTCTAGGATCGGAATCAGCAAATACCGGAGACCCTTGAAATCAAACTTGTGGCCTATGAGCTCCACTATTAGCATTAGCAAGTTATGAATGCTTGCCAAACCATTAGCTATCACAAAGAATCTGCATTACCATTAAAAAAAATGATTCAATTTGATAGCACTGAAAATTTGCTAAATCTTGTGAAAATTCTTTGCCCAGTTGAGAACATTAAAATTTTTTTTTTGGGTTACACTTATTAAATTCAACTACTGAAGAAAATTCATAAACTACGGGTGGATCGAGAGGGATTAAGTGTTGCAATGTTATGGTGCCTGTGAACATAGATTTGGTACCAATCGCTGCATGTTTTAGCTAATCTAGTTTTGCCATATCATTTAGCCTATAAACATGTTACTTTAGTTACACTTTTGATAAAGCTTATGGGCCAAAAATTGGAACATAAAATGATTGAATCTTCCAGTTTTTCTCCTAATAAGAATTGCATGCATCATCAAAGCACATTAAGGTGTTGAACATAAGTTGGTTAGGCCTGTTAAGTGTTTATCAACATGGGAAATAACAATAAACAGAGCTAAAATAGGTAAAATCAAGCTAAAGTTAATATTTACTTGATACCAGTACAAATTTAGCTAATCTAGTTTTGCAAATTACATTGCCATGAACAAATAATAAAAAGCAATACATATGGCCTAAAAAAAAAGAAAGTTCCATTAATATGACTTATTAAAAGAACTCACATAAATGCTGGGGTGTGCTGAAACTTGGCTGTGACACTGGCCTGAATTGGAGTTCTTCCAATAGTGGCAACAACAACTGTTAAGGTTTGCTTGTTTATGGCCATCACCACTGTGGCTGATACAGTTGCAAAAAAGGCAAACAGCCTCAGCAAAAAGATTAGCCAATCATTTGCCTTGTTAGCACTAACCACTGGTGTTTGGCAAGCTCCATTCTCTGCCCCTTCCACAACTTTCTCATCAGCCATGGCAAACAATCAAGAAAGGAGCGAGTAAATATGTGTATAATGATGTTTGATTGTGGAGGACAATGAATTCATCTAAAACCATATAAAGGGAGACACTGGGGAAAGGGGTTTTGTTTAGTCTAATAAGCAAAGAGTTGTGTGTCCATATCGTTCTGGTTAGCCTAACTAATTTGGTACTTTTGAGGAAATCTGTGGCAGTTGTTAGGAAGATAGCTGAAACAGAAAGTACCAGGAGGGATGAAGTAGGCTGTAAGTTCAGGCTAATTTAGAAAGGTCAAACAACTTTATGCTAATTTGCAAATAATCCTGCCTAGTTCACCTAAATAAACAGAAGAAAGGGACACATTTTCCCACGACTAAGTTTCATAGCAGCATCAGTGTTTTCGGTGCTCCTATTCTTTCTAATTGTTCTGGTAGAAATCTTTTACGTTTTTGATTATGCATGATTATACGTGTGTGCATGGGAAATTGGTCAAGTAACAATTTGTTTTGATTATGCATGTTTCCCTTTTTTTTTTATTTATTTTAAAAAATTAAACTGTGTATGTGTTTTCACCTTAATTATGTATAGTGGAAGCTCATTCTTATCCATTCTCGTTCTTGACAAAATTGTCCAATTGCCAGATATCGTGAGGGGGCAAAAAATTGTCCTCTTGCAACATTTCGTAAGAAGCCACCCACACTATCTATAAGCTAATGTCTGAAATTGGTTTGATCTTCAGTTCTTCACCTGTCAAATGCACTAGCCCAAGAGGATAAAAAAATGTTTCGATTCAATAGTTTCATGTAGGGAAAAACATTTATTTATGGGGCATAAACTATAGATCTAGGATGTCTAAACTTGGAGATACCCAAAAACAAAAAAGCATAATTATATATTTTTGTAGTTAAATTAAAGTCCTCAAAGCTTCCCAAAGGCTTCCTCCCCTTTCATTACAATTGTCTATTAGAGATATTCTTTGCAAATTCAAGCCACAAATATGAAAGAAGACTTTGATTTGATTAAGTGAGGGGTGGTGGTGATGATACAAATGAAGTAATAAATCACATGTTAATACTTTTCATAGCAAGAATCATTTCTATTGGTTGAAAAAGGAAGGCAAATTGAATGCATCTCCCTTCATTAATATAATAATTAATGATTTTTCTTTCTTTTCTTCTTTGGAAACGAAAGGGTTTTCTGATTTGGAAGTCGAATTCCAGATTTAAAATTCTATACTTGTTGGTAGTTTGAAACTTGTAGACTCTTCTCATTGGAGAATATGACATTTGATCTTGAAGCTTTCATGTTTAATGATTGTTATATTGTTTATGAAAGAGGATTTGGTTTGGATGCTAGGACCTAGGAGTGCTGACAGTTGTCACAGGTTTGCTGATCATGTCACAGAGAAAGTGAGACAGTAAATTATCCTAAAGCTATTTGTGGGTATAGGGAGACAATCTCAGAGATAGATTCCAAAGTGAAATTGTGATGTGATAGCCTAGATTTGTTTCATGACCAAAATTCATAGATCCCAAAGTGAAATTGTGATGTGGAAGCGTGAAAATAGAGTTTGTTTTACAAACAAAATTTATAGAATAGAATATGGATTTCTATTATCAGTATTTCTCAGCCATAGAAATCACAAAATCATTTCTTGTACTTTTTAGACAACTGGTTTTTAGGTATAAAACAAAACTTGTAAAAGAAAGCAAGACAGACAACAAATTCTGCAACTGCCAAGACAATAGGGTAGCCATGGCAGCCAAAAGAAAAAATAAAGAATAAAATAAATCATCAGATGGATTTAAATTCATGTTGTCTGCACAAAGATAAATAAGATCTCATAAGTAATGACAGTTTTCATTAATTCTTAACCCTATAGAGTTTTTCACCCCAATGGCCACTTTGAAATCTAATAAACCATTTATATATGGTAAAGCTTGGCAAAACTAAGTCAATGGGTATTTTGGCAGTTAAAATAAGATCTCATCATGGCTTGCCCTGATGGCTTACCCTGTCATGGTGGAGGTGGATTCGCTACTGTTAGCAAATATCCTCCAAGGCAAATCAAAGTGTCCGTGGTTGATTTGATCGGAAATTGAAAGATTCCAGGCAAACTGTGCTTTGGCTAGGACGGTGGGACATTGCTATCGAGAGACGAACCAGGTGGCGGATGCGTTGGCTAAGGCGGGGGCAAATGATTCGGGAACGTTCTTTATACTTCACAATCGGAGTTACCAAGACCTGCAAGGGGAGCCTTGATATTGGATAAAGCAGGAACTCCTGTCATTCGTGTTAGGGCTATTCGCAAATAAACTCCTTTGTATTAAAAAAAGAGTAAGACAATTATGAAATGAATAAAAATGGAGAGTTTTCTAAAAAAAAAAAAAAAGTACAGTATAAAAATCTACTGCTGGATAAGGTAATTTTGATGATTATGCTTAGGCAGAAAAATTAAAACGACCAAACAAAATAAAGTGAATCACAGAAATATATTACTACTCAGGATTCAATGGATCCATCCATCACTCAAAGAAATTATCTACATGATAAAATATGAATATCGATGAGGTAATTAAATATCCAGGTCAAACTACTGAAGAATTAACCACAGCAAAGAAGTGCTAAAATAAATTAATCCCCAAATGGCTTCTGTCAAAAAAATTTAGTAATCAAGTAAATTGTTATCATTTTAATTTGTACTGTTTGTGGTTGTAGTTTTCATGGTTCGTAAGCAAATCAAATTTGCTAGAGATTGTCGACAAGATCAAAATTTCTCTGCAGGCAATAATGGAAATCAACTCTTTCTAGTAGAGAAAAATAAAAAAAGATTCGTAGTTCGATCAAGAATATTTTAAACTGCATTAAAGTTCAACAACCATGTGAAGCAAAAAGAAAATTCCACATTTCTTCCACTAACTAATTGTTTAGACAAAAAGCAACGAAAATACATAGAATTTACTTTCTTTCTTTGTTTTTTACTTATTTGGTGGTTGAACCTACCGCTGACCAAATTGCCTTTACAAAGCCAAACTAAAAGCAGACATAATTGAAGGAAAAAAAAAAAAAGGGTTAAGCAGATTCTATATTGGTTCTACATTCTTGTTGACATTTTTTGTTTCCTATGATTAATTTATAATCTTAACATATTAAAGACAAATAGAAAATTATTTTTGGCCGGGTTTATCTTGGCCTCATATGCAACTGAACCACTTCCTTTCACTTTTAAGATTGTTTGATGAACAAACAAATTCTTCAATGTCTTCTTCTTTTATTTTTATTTTTATTTTTTTGATTTGGGAATTTTTATAAATTCTTTGGCAATTTGTTATTGTATTCCAACAACTTTTGATGTTACATTTGACGAGAAATATTTGAAAAAAGAGCTGTACATAATCTGCTGTTGAAGGGTTTTTTTTTTTTAAAATAAAATTTCAGCTTGGATCTTTTCAATTGTGTTCCGGATATAACTTACATAAATTGCTTTGCAATAGCACAGAAGTTGGAATGGATTTACCATCTTAGTTTGTGCTCCCATCATATATATTGGATTTGAGATGAATAAATAACATAGTCCTTAAGTTTGTGAGAAGAAAAGACCAAAAAAAAAAAAAAAAACTGCAAAAAGTGACATGCAAAGTATGAATATTGAACAAGAATAGTAATTTGAAAAAGTGATTCGATTTTTTTTTTTTCCTATGCTAATCCTACTCCAATTCTTTAGTTGCACAAGTGATCTAGAATTGGTGATCATGCATCAAGATTAATGTAGAATTTGATCAAGATCAGGATCGATGTTCAATTTGATCACTTAAACTTTACATCTTAGGAATTCAAGAATGAAGTTATAACATGGATCAGCTTAATTATGTGACAATAATATCATTGTAAGACAAGTGAGTTTTAGAAATTTCTTTATATTCTCTCAAAAATATTGAACTTTCACTTTTATATATCTCTAAACTAAAAACTAGACTTGACTCAACCACTTCCCTCCCCCACCAATAAATGGGGAGACAAAAGAGCCTTCTGCATAAATTTAAGGGTGCCCCTCAAGCAAACATTTTTACCAGTTTTTGCTAATCTTGGCCCCTCTTTTAAGTAATTTTCCACCACTAAATGGAAGCACCTAAAGAGAACACATAAATGGGCTTCAGAATTTGTTCCTGACCAGGAACAGAAGATGCCCAAAACAATCAAGTATCCTTAATTTTTACAATTTTTCCTATAATTCATCATGTCTATGGATATGCGTAAAACATAAGAGGGTTCCAAAGCTACAAACCGGTTTGTATTGGTTCAATATTGAGTGCTCTTTCCTAAAACAAGACTCTTTCTTCACACGGTTATTCCACTTGGGATGCCCGGAAAACGAACCCTCAATTTAGTCATTTTTAAGGCAAGAAAAACCGACTGTCCTACTCTTAAGATATATATAATACGTGTGCTGCACAGAACTGTCAAAATTTTCCAGTGTTCACAATGCCAAGACTAACAAATACTAGAAGAAAGCTTTTTTTTTTGGTTTTCACCCTTCACAGATGATGCATCACCTGTCTATCAACTGACAAATTTACTTTCCTTATTTGACAATTCTACACATTTCGTGTGAAGAGGAGAAGAGAAATAGGCAAATATGCAACTGGCTTGTTTTTTTTTTTTAGCAGGAGAAGGATGAAACTTAAAAAACGATAAGAGAGCAGGAAATTTGAACGGTAGATCTCTAATTTCTAGGATCTCAACTTTAGTCATTAGATGAAAACCTTCTCGCCTTCTCCTCAAATGATTGTGCTATCTTGTTTTGCCATAATTCGAATTAACTGATATTGGGAAATCATTCATTTGTCTCCTTCTCTTGTTTCACTCTCTTGTAATGTAAAAGTGGAATATGGAATATATTATATCTTCTAGCAGAAGTGGCAGTGACAGTTGTAACCGTGCCAGTGAGGCAGAGCCTAGTATACTTACAAAAGTAAACGGCTGAAGAATGTGCAATTTTGTCCGATAATACCTTGGTTGTGGTCCTGCGGATGGAACTTTTTTGTGGGTTAAACTATTCTTCAAAC